AAGACAAATTCGTCCTCTCACCGGTGCTAAAGATTCAATGGACGTTTATCTCTCAGGATACAACGATCAATGTCTTGTACTAGCAGCACTACTATTGTAAGCCTAGCGAACTTCGTTGTGCATGCACTCTCTTTATAGAAAAATTTGACTTAGGAAAATATAAAGAATAAATGTGAAGATAAAGAAGAAATGACGAATTTCCTATCCAAATTGAAGTGAGGGAGATGAAATTTATAAATTCCTCCGTGACTTTTCCTAAAGGTTGTGACCCTTAAAACGGCGCACTCTTCTATTTCAAGAGATACAACCATTTGAGTAAATTTTAATTTAAATTTTCAACAGTTTAATCAATAGTGTCGGCATACCAATGGTGGATGTGGGTGAAAAACAAATGATTGTATATATGCTTTAGCATTTACACATGTTTGTAGATCACCTTTAATTGATGCATTTTTTTTTTTTTTTTTTTAAAATGAGGAACAATTGATTTTACTGCAGGGAGTAGCTTATTATAGAATTATATTATATAAAAGATTATATATAATAAAATTGTGAACAATAAATTATAATTAGATAGATAGTCCAAATCTTCATATTATAACTCCTATGTTATTTCTTCATGTCTCATATTTTCTCACTTAATTTCCGGTGACAATACGAAAGTTATTCAATATTTTAATATCGCGTAAACAAACAACAAACTAAAAAGACATATTGAATTTAACAACATTTCATATCAAAATTTTATTCTTTATACTAATTAAGGTCTTGACTTAATGGTTGTGCAATACTGTTTTGTGCACTAAAATTACTAATCAACTATTATAGATAATAATTTATTATTTTTCTTTATACTACAATCAAACGAAATATTATTTTTAATGGTGGGTTAAATTGACAAGTAAAATTTTACAAGATGATAATTTTAAATAATTAAATATGATTCATAATATTACTGAGAAGATAATTTATCGCCTACCCACAATACAAAAAGTGATGGTTGCTTATCTTGTCTTACAAAACTATTCATCCTTGTAGAGGTGAAAATGTTAAAAAAAAAAAAAATCAATTCAGGGAGGACATAGTTTGAGAAGTGAGTTGATTTTTTTACTTTTTATTTTTTTGACCAATTAACTTGGAGAGTACTTACGTATAGGTCTTAATAAGTGAACTTATTAATAAGTGAACTTATCATCTAATAGGTTTTATGAGAAAAAATTGTCATTAAAAAAGTCACTAATTGTAAATTTTAGCGACAATTTATAAAAATCATAATAAAAAAGTCACTAATTGTCAATTTTTAGCGACATATATAAAAAATTGTCAAAAAAAAAAATACAACTCCAAGACCAAAACATCACATCATTAATGGCGGGACCCACTGCCACCTAATTAGTGGGAGCACTAATTAGTGCTCCCAAGCATTTTTCTTTTTATTTTTTATTTTTTTGACCAATTAACTTGGAGAGTACTTACGTATAGGTCTTAATAAGTGAATTTATTAATAAGTGAACTTATCATCTAATAGGTCTTATGAGAAAAAATTGTCATTAAAAAAGTCACTAATTGTAAATTTTAGTGATAATTTATAAAAATCATAATAAAAAAGTCACTAATTGTCAATTTTTAGCGACATATATAAAAAATTGTCATAAAAAAATTATTTTGAATGACAATTTTATCAAGACTTATTTTTAATAGGATTTGATGGGAATTGGTAGTTTTTCCTTAGCTTTCTTGGGGCTGAAAAGTTCGTTTTGTTTGATTTTTTTTTTTAATTTTGTCAAAAAAAAAGTGAAATAATTATGGTTTAGATATAATATTTTGTCTTATTGATTTTTTAATTTATTTTGTCTTTTTGTGATTAATTTTAATCAAAAAAATTCACTTGCCAAAAGAGGGCAATGTCATTTCACCAAATTTGAGAGAGGTCTCAGCAATTATCACAAACTTTAGGAAAATTGTGCAATTTGCCGTAAATTAAAATTTAGATTTATTTTGAGAAGCAATTTATTTATTTATTTAGTTATTGATTTTAAAAAATAAAATAAAATAAAATAAAATAAAAAGAGTGATATAACCTAAATTTTTATTTTTTATTTTTTATTACCAAAATAGACCATAAAAGCATGCAGGGTTTATGTTTTCTTCAGGTTCTGGCGAGAGAGAGAGAGAGAGAGAGTCAAATTTCTAGGCTGTGTGTGTGTGTGTGTGTGGGTATGGTGTGAATTGGTGATCTTCTTCATCACCAAAAGCAATGGTGTGTGAAGTAATTCTATGGGTAATCTTCTTCATCTTCAACATGACCCTCTTAGCTCTCGATTTCTATCAGGTAATCTCTCTCTTTCTCTCTCTCTAAAATCCCTTCAAATCATCATCTATAATTCATTTTCTATATATAGAAACCCTAATTGAACTGACTGAGTTCACATTATTATCGATGATTGAGTTTGCAGATTGTGTGTTTATCGGATTTGGAGGCCGATTATATGAATCTATACGAGTCATCGTCTCGTATTAATGCCGTGATTGTCCCTGAGTTTGTAGTTCATGGTTTGTTCTGCTCTCTATTCCTTGTGACCGCCCATTGGTTCATGTTCCTGCTTATGCTTCCCATTGCCTACTACAACACCATGTTGTGAGTTTCTTCTTTGTCAATTTCATTTGAGTGTGCTCTTACTTGCATCCCTGGTGATCATATTGAGAGCCGGCCCTAGGTTGTTTGGGACCTAGGCGAACTTTTCAAATGGGGCCTTCTATACATAACGACAAGTGGTGGCATATTGGATGCGTGTGCATATGATCATTTTACTTTGGAAAAATAAGATTATAAATTGGATGATTGAATTGAAAATCTAAAATCAGAAATCAGAAGTTAAGAGATTTGAAGGAAAAAAAAAAAAAATTAGGACTACCCACCTAACTGCGATAGGGTACTTTGGGGGGGGAAAAAATTGAGACATAAACACCAAGTTGGGCCTTCTCTTCATAATAGTACTATCGTTCCACCACACACGCAAAAAAAAAGTAATAATATGAGAATAATGACAAATTAGAATGCACACATAGTACGTTTTGCTCAAGAGGAAACGGTCTTCTCTACCAAATACATGATCTTTGTTTCAAGTCCTGTCCTCCTCTTAATATAAAATTTATATGAACACCAACTATAGGGGTATTTTGGGAAAACATAAAATATGAGACATTTTGTGTCAACACCATCTCAAGGCTTCACATATATAATAGTATAGACAGATAGATAGATAATGAAAAAAAATGTGGGTAAAATGCCGAGTAGTTACATTTAAAAAAAAAAAAATTTCTAATACCTGTACAAATTTTGTTTGCATATATAATCACTAAAATCATATACTAAAATTTACTCACATAGATCAAAATATGGAAAAATATTCCAATAACTCAAAAAGATAAAAATATGATCATGGTGCTTTATAATTTAACAAATTCGATCCATGTTCTAACTGCAGTTGCCATCTTAGATCTCAAGTTGCCTAAGGCCAGCCCTTCTTGTTGTTTTCTCACTTATATCTCGGTCTTTCTCTGTGGTTGATTGATTTATTTTATGCAATCTTTTTCTGCTTGATTAACCCATGCATAAATCAAGGAACAAAACTCCTGTTTGTTTTTTATCAAAATCTCATAAACGTTTCCATTTTGTAAGAGACCAAACCGAAACCATAGTAGGATAATGAAGTTCTAGAATTTAAAGAACTTGACGAACATAAAACTGAGCTCTCTTAGTGTTTTTTTTTTCTTCTTCTTTCTTTTCCAGGAACTTACTTCTGATTGCTTGTTTTCATCATCACTTTCAAGTTTTATGTTCTTCAAGTTCTTTAAATTCTAGAATTTTACAGTAGTAAAAAGATAAGGTACTTATTTGGAAAAAGGAAATTTAAAGATAATGTAGAAAGAGATGGCGTTTGTTGAATTTACAACCTTTTGGATATACATTTCAATGATTATTTTTCATATTGGTTCATGTGTCTATAGATGTAAGTTTGTTGAAATTAAAGCATTACCTTTTTTTTCTTATAAGTAATTTTTTTTTTCAGATTTATAAAGCGACAACATCTTATTGACGTCACTGAGGTCTTTAGATTTCTTAAAGCTGAGAAAAAGTATCGAGTTATCAAACTTTCCTTCTACTTAGTTCTCTTGGTCTTGGTCATTTTCAGGTTTGCTTCGATTCTTCATTTATTACTTTTCTTTCACTTTTCGTATTTTAAAATAAGGGCTGTTGGTTTAAATCTGAGGGCAATCACTTTGTAAATAATGGTCAAAGACGTGGTCCACCCCTCCCAGTCTCCCAGATTCCCATTTATGGGCACTAAATTGGCAGCATTTTTTTTAAAATTCTTATTTTCCATTTTGCTAAGTCGAAGTTTTTACTTGCTGCCCGGGCATAGACTTCTCTCTGAAGGGTGATTTTCCACTAACTTATCAGTCTTCCATTTCAATAATGAAGAATTAGACGCTCGCTCATCCTTTCTTGAATTCTAGAAATTACCTTTCATACTTTGACCTGCATGTTTTATCCTTTCAATTCTTTGAAATAAGCTGAGACATGACCTTATGAATATTTAATTGTCAAATGTTAATATCACATTTTCTAATGTGAATGTACATCTCAAGCCTGGAAAACCAAGTATGTCTGGACGTCCAATCTTCTTGTTCCCGTAGGCTGGAACTTTGGTAAAGCAATGTACTAGTTTATAGTTAGGTACTTAGGCTCTAGTCATGGTTCTCAAGAAAACAGTGAGCGAAAACACAATCAAACAGATTGAGTTTTATTTTTTATCGTACGAAACATAATCACAAAAAGGAAATATGAGATGAATTTATCTCTTCTATACTTGCTAATTGAGTATGAAAGGTCCAAAGGAGGAGTGCGCAAATTTTTCTGTTAAATCTGCTCTGATTGAGTTATTTTTATCGAATTTTAGTTGAAAAGGATATTTTAATTTATGATTGATTATAGAAACTAATGACTTGTGTCAGGTGCCTGTGGGTGTGTGTGTGCAAGCATGTGGCAATGCTAATAATAAATCGTTAATGCAGGTTTGTTCTGTCTATGTTAAACTCTATAGTTGATGAAGATGATGGTGTACATGGATCTTGGTGGTACTGATTTCCACCACTTTGATGCAGTATGATTGCCAGTCCTTGTAAGTTTGTTCTAGTCCCTGAAATTGCAAAAATGAAAAAAATACCCAATTTACTGATATAGGTTGGCAAACCATTAAAGGAACTTGGCCTGTTTTCTTGCTGTCTAAACCATCAACTAGTAGGTGAAGCATTCGTATTGATTTCTAGATCATGATTAGTTTTAGTCTAAAAACTTGTTTAGGTTGATGAACAATGTATCCCATCCCTAGAATGAATGATCAAAAGGAATGGTTGTTTCTTCATGCATCATCTACTCTCTTAAATGACACTTGCAGATTTATACAAGTTTATTTTCGTATATTATAACTTACTTTCATTTATCACATTTCTAGAATGAATGGTCAAATGGAATCATTTTTTTGTTTTGTTTTGTTTTTTTTGCTGTTCCCTTGGTTACAAGTGTTTTTGCACACTTCATTTATGTGCCATACTAACCTGCCTCAACCACAGTGGTCCTTTTGCCAATGTGTTTCTTTCCACCTTCTATATGACCACTAGGTGAAATATTCGGGGCTCACCACCCATTCTCTTTAAAACAACATACAATTTATATGGCACTTGTATTTGTTAAAAAATGTAACCTGCTTCTGGGCAGGGGCTGTTTATTTATTTATATGTTTTTTAAATTAAAAAAAAAATAAAATAAATCAACACATGGAATAGCACCAAACCTCCAGGACCTATAAGCAACACAGTTTGTGAGGTTCACCCAAAACATAGTGCTACGTCCACAGAATTAGTGCGGTTTCACTATAATCTCAATAGAGAAATTATAGGAGTCTCACCCTCAATCTTACAAATTCTTTCTATTAATCTCATCAATATTTGTTTCTCATACACATAATATAGTTATGAAGGAGTATTAGTATATATAATGCTAGCCCCCGGTAAAACATTGTATTTTTCATGCACATCAAGGCAGGTAGCCCATTCTGAGTGCCCTTAGGCCAGCATGTGCACCATCATCATTCTCCGCTCTAGCGCCTATTTAGTGAGCAAACCTACACTTTCTGGACAAATTGCATTGGAGCACGCTTTAACCCTGCTCGAGCATGCTTCTGCTCTCCACCGACAACAGAACATTGCTTCAAACAAGCAAATGAGTGCACATATTGGCATGTATGATTGATCTATAATATATATGCCGATATGCAAGTAATTTTTACTCTGCAAGCAAAGATGCTTAGTCTTCACTCCTGCTTTCACAGTTTTGAGGATTGTAAGTTGCATATTTAGCATACCATTTCAAAATCTTTGTTTGACATGTGTGTTGACTTGTAGTTTGACATCCTCATTCATTGAAAAGATGGATGATATTAGTATAAAAAGTACGCTTGTGATATGGCATTTTGTTTGTATATTTGAATGCAATATTACTTTTTGTTGGACAGCATAGCTAAGGTTGATGTTTTTGCGGAATACGAAGTTTTGGAAGTCAATTCAAGAGGGTATTGTTTTTGTTTTCAGTTTTTGAAAAACAAATAATTTGTTTGGCGAGCTATCTTCAAATACTTTTTGGGAATAATTTATAGAAATAGCCCATTTTTTAGGAAACACAACAAATTTTTCATAGCAACTGACTAAGTGGATTTGCTCTGATTGTTTATGGGCTGGAGATCTGATTGGGCTGCTTGGGCCTATTCGTTGTCTATTGTAGGCTGTAATCAAAACCAATTAATATGTGACCCATCAGTTCTTGAAAATGAGGCTTTAAATCAATTAATATGATTCCATGTCAAAAATTGATTCCATGTCAAAAATTTTTGACAAATCTACATACATACTAATGGAACAATTAATATGTGACCCATCAGTTCTTGAAAATGAGGCTTTTGACCCAATTTTTGATTACTACATACATACTAATGGAACAATTTTTGACAAATCTATAGTGTAATTTAGACCTTATTTGTCATAATCTAAAAAAGTCAAAAAATCAAAAAGTCACTATTCTATTTAAGTCACATCATTTTATTTAAGTCACATCACCTCTCTACCATATCACTTCAAACCCAATTCATACTCTATCCATATTTCATAAAAATTTAATGTACTTATTTAGATCATCTCAAATCACCTCTAAGACTGTACTAAAATAATATTTTAAAAAAATACTACACCGACAGAGATATTTCATCAGTAGCATACTCATACATATCAGAGGGTAAGATCCATTGTAAAAGATACAATATTGTTCTAAAAAAAATAAAAACAAAATATTGCTTACATTGCTCGTCTGCTTCACCTGTATGTGGCTGTGGCTGTGGCTGTGGTTGTGGTTGTGGTTGATTATGTGTTTATTATGGGTAGGGGTGTGCATAA